AAGCTGGGACGTGGACCTCTCCTGGGGTGTCCAGCACCAGCTCTGAGCTGTGCCTCTAGCCTCAGGGATGTAGCCGAGGTTGACCGTGCCGTCCATTGTAGGCCAGGAGCAGGGATCAGGAAGTCCCCTTTTCTGGACGTGAACTGGCCTCACAATGGTAGGAGAAGCAAGCCAGACAGGGGCTGCTGACACGGCTGGGGGCCTGCTCACTCCCAGACTGATTTCTGTACAATTCAGTCTGATTTCCTTCTGCCTTGAGGGTGTCTGAGTCTGGCCTGTGCCTGGGAAATCCTCTGCAGGGGATGTTAGGTGTGTATGAAGTGTCTCCCCCCACCCCCACTCGGGGGTCTCACACAAACACAGGGGCCCGATTGACCCCCACCTCCTCCAGGAAACCAGCCTGACCTTCCCAGACAACCTTCCCTAGGGATGTATCTAAAACAAGGGGATAGGCCCCCCAAAGGCCTCACTGTTCTCTGGGCTTTCAGGGGCCACCACCTGAGTACTGATCATTCACTGCCCATGGGCTGCATGCAGGGAGGGCCAGCTTCCAGGCTTCAGGGGGTGACAGGTCCACTGGGCTCTCCCCTCATCCAGTCAATTCTGCGGTGTTGGGATCTGGTGTAGACAGCAGAGTTTACAGAGGGGATAGGGAGGGGCCCCGGGGTGTGCGTGTGAGGCATCGCCCAGAGAAGATACTCCTGGGACAGGAGGAGGGGAAACGTGCTAGCTGTCTTCAGTATTTGAGGGGCCCTCCGGGAGAACACGGTTCGACTTTCTCGCGTGACCCCAGAGGGCAGAGCCAGGAATAATGGGTGTTTCAGGGACTGAGCCAGTCTGGCACCAGGTGGAGAAGGGGCAGCAGCATCTGTGACAGGTGGCTGTGCTCCCGCCGCAGCCCTGAACTCCTCCCCTATACTGCCCACATGGAGCCAGACCGCTAACGGGTGGCAGTCCATCCCAGGCCCCAGGGGCTGGCCCCAAGCCTGGCCAGGACCTCAGCATCAGTCTTCCCCTGTGGGCCCGCTGAGGCAGCGATCTATCTGAGGGATGGGAGATCAGGAGGAGCACCACCTGCGGTCCCGCGGCAGAAGGCGGCTGCTTTGGGATTCATTGGTGCAGTCTCTGCCCCCGCCTTTCCCCTAGCTCCTGGTTCTGGCTGCCGAGCCCAACTGGGGGCCCACGCTGAGCCGCCAGGGCTTCCGGCCCCGGGGCTGCAGGGGTGGGCCGACTGCCGGGGGTGGCACAGGGGAGGGGGCTGTTCCCAGTCTGCTCGATTCCTCAGTTTTCAGTCCTTTCTGCTTTCACCATTAAGGCTCAGAGGGTTTTAATGCTTGGACCTCAATGCAAGGCGCTCCCAGGACCGACGAGCCAGGGGTTGACTGCTTCTGAAGCCTGAGCCTCTCAGAGAGTGATAAGAAGGCTGGGCGACTCCGGGCGGCAGCGGGGAAGCCACCTAGTTGTCCTAGGTGGAAGCTGTCAAGAGAGAGACCTAGGCTGGACCTGAGCGTGGGGGGAAAGGAAGAGCGAGCAGTCACAGCCGGGAGTGGAACGAGGGGGCGGGCGGGGGAGCTGCAGGGGGTGGGGGGGAACAGTGGCTTCAGTTCTCCTCACCCACCCAAGAAGAGAGCTGCAGTGGAATAAGATGGGCGGGGCTGCCTCCTCCTGGCCGGAGCAAGCAGCAGGGCTTCCGAGCCCCACCCTATCCCTCCCCTTCCATGGCATCTGGGTGAGCCCCACCCCCGCACACCTCTCCCCCTCCATGGGGTCTGGGAGAGCCCTTGTCAGGGACACCGGCATCTGTCCAGGGGTCCCCTGATCCAGTGCCATCCATCTGTTGCCTGGCTGCCTCGGGGTCCTTCCAACTCAGTGATTCAGTGATTTCTGCCTAAGGGGCTGGCCAGTCTAAAGCAGAGCAGAAGGGTCTCCCACTGCTCCTGGAAGTGATTTAAAACTGGAGTGGATCGTCTTGAATTTGAGAATCAGCGCCGCCTAGTGACCACAGAGGTGACCATACGTGTGGGGGGCGGGGTTCGGAGGGCGGCTCCAAAGTTATAATAGAGTCAGAGTATGCGAGCAGGAAGGGACTTGGGGGGGGAGGGGGAGGGGTCATCCAGTCCACTCTCTCCCATTTTATGGATCAGAAAAATGGGCCCAGAGAGGGGACACTCTTGGGCAGGGCCCCGTTTCCTCCTTTATGAAATGAGGGCGTTAGGCAGATGGACCAGAGTCGGAAGGGAACTTAGCTTCCATCCATGTAAGGATTCTTTCCCGTGGCAGCTTCTGCTTGGAGACGCAGAACCCTTCCTAGTTTGGATAATCCTGGGCAAACAGGCTTGCTCCAGATCTTGCAGGAGAGCCAGCCTGAGAGGGGCCCCTTGGAGGGGAGGTGGGGCCACATCTGTTTTGGGCAGAGTTGTTGACTTTTCCCAAGACATGACAGCATCTTCCAGTGCTGGAATGGCCAAGGGCTCAAGAGCCTTAGGGGCTGGTGCAGAACCGACTCAGAAAGGGGCTGAGGATGGGCAGGGAGTGGCAGCCCAGGAGGGATGGTATGATTCAAAGTTCTCCTTGGATATGGAAGGGGGACATTTATGAGCGATACCAAGACCAAGGGTGTGTGGCTGAGACAGCCAAAAGCTGAGTCGTTTGACCCTCAGTGGGTCCATCCCCTTCCCCTCCCCTTGGTCATCTGGCCTGGGCTCCAGCCCTGCCCACCCTTCCAAGCTGCCAAGACCACAGCCTAGCCTGACACCCTTTCCCAGAAGAGCAGGAAGAAATACCCAAGAGGCCAAGTTTAGGGCTCAGGACCTATAAACACTCAATTCTGACTCAGAGGCCAATCAGAAGATTCCTCTTCAGGTGGTAGGAGAGCCTGGAAGTGGCAGTGGGGGGCAAGGAGGATTCCTCCTCCCCCGCCTGGACCCCTGGGCGAGTGAAGGCACAGCCAGGATTGCAGAGGGAGGCCAGGGAGGCTGGGTCTTAGTAAGAACTGGCGGATGGAAGGAGTCAGAGAGGTATACAGTTAAGGAAGTTTGCTGCCTATGAACAGGCATTCCAGAGCGCACAGTGGAAAGGAAGGGTGGAATCAGAATGAAGCTTTTGGGCGGGAGATGGGAAGGAAGAATGAGGTGGTGAGGGAAGGAGAGTCCCCAAGACGTGAAGGGTATGAGCACGCGGGTCCCTGTGTGGAGAACACCGCTCCTCTTCCCAAAGCTAAGACTGGAGGCACTTGGCGGGCAGGCGGGCGGCCCTGCTGCACACGTCCTCTCCTCTCCGGGGGCTGGAGATGAGGCAGGAAAAGGAAGCTGGAAGGCAACGTGGCTGATGGAAGGTGGTCCTGCTCCTGCTCTGCCTGGTCAGCAGACCTTCTGGTAAAAGCTAATTGACGTTAATGGGTTAGAGTGATCTTAAAGCTGTCAATCACTGAATCAATCAAAGGAACAGAGGAGAAATTCACTGGCACAGGAAGTGACTTGGGGGAGAAAGACTAGTTTCTTCCTTGAGAAGTCGAAGGGCGTGAAAGGGGCAAAGAGAAATCTCGTCCTGTCAGCAGGCTGGAGGCAGAAGGTGGTGACAGAGAGGAGAACGGAACCCTCGGCATCGGGAGAGGTGGGCCGTCTCAGAAGGACGCGGCTTCTCTTCCTCCAAGGGGTGACCGGGATGACCACGCAGAAAGAGCCGCAGGTGCCTGTCCGTGGGCGAACTGTCGTCCCACGATGATTGCAGCACCAAGAGACGAGTGGCTCCCTGCTCGGGGGATGAGGCAGCAACGTCCAGAGGGACAACTGTCGTCTTAACATGCACAGACCTGGCACGAGAGGGCTTCTGAGGCTCTCGCCACCCCTTCCTAATAGCCCCACCCAAAGGCATCCAGAAAGCACACATCGTGGGCAAAAACTCAACCCTCAGACCAGAGATGTTTCCATCGCTGCTAACTGGAGGTGGAAGATTCACGAGAGAGGGGGATCCAGGACAAACTGGATAAGGAGACGGTGACAGGTGGCATTTGGATTTTTGGACCACAGAGTTGGGGGAGGGGCACGGACAGGTGCCAGGAAGCTGGTCACGGAGGATGAAGCTGAAGGCAGGGAGAGGGAGAAAACTGCCTTCAGGCCAGGTCTCCTGCAGAAGATGGGGCCAGCCTGGAAGGAAGCCAGAATATTGTGTCTGCTCTGTTAGGTGGTGCAGTGGAGAGGGTGCTTGGCCTGGAGTCACAAAGACCCGAGTTCAAATCCAGCCCCCGACACTTCCTAGCTCAGTGACCCTGGGTAAGTCACATAACCACTGTCTACCTCAGTTGCCTTGTCTGTAAAATGGGGAAACTGAGTGGTAGGCACCTGCCTCCCAGGGGTGTTATGAGGACCAAACGAGATAATATTTGCAAAGTACATGCTAGCTTTTTAAAAAATTACCACCTGAAGAGGAATCTTCTGATTGGCCTCTGAGTCAGAATTGAGTGTTTATAGGTCCTGAGCCCTAAACTTGGCCTCTTGGGTATTTCTTCCTGCTCTTCTGGGAAAGGGTGTCAGGCTAGGCTGTGGTCTCGGCAGCTTGGAAGGGTGGGCAGGGCTGGAGCCCAGGCCAGATGACCAAGGGGAGGGGAAGGGGATGGACCCACTGAGGGTCAAACGACTCAGCTTTTGGCTCCCCACACGGGGAGGCCGAGTCAGGGAGGGGGGAGAGATGCTCTTTCTTTCCATTCTCCATCTTCTCAGCAACTATCCCTTTGTAAGAAGCTAACCGACATGAGCTCTCCTTACTGACCCTTAACACTGGAACGCATGGAACGGGGGCTTGGGCCGTGTCATTAGAAAGGCAGCGCGGGCCCTCAGGGGTACCCCCAGGACCCCGCAGGGAAGGCATCAGGATGAAGAGGAGCTGGGATCCCCAGAGTTGACAAAGATTACATCAGACAAAGGCCCCATTTCTCAAATACAGAGAGAACTGAGTCATTCCAGCTGCACAAGCTGTGCCATATGACTGTGATGGAATACTCCTGTGCTGTAAGAAGCGATGAGCAGGCCGACTTCAGAAAAACCCGGGAAGACCTGCATGGACTGATGCAGAGTGAAGTGAGCAGGACCAGGAGAACGCTGTCCACGGGGACAGCTTCAGTGCACGGTGACTGACTCTGATATACTTGGTCCTTCTCAGCAATGCAAAGGTCTCATGATGGAAAATGCTGTCCACAGCCAGAGAAAGAACCATGGAGTTGGAATGCAGATCGAAGCATTCCGTTTGCTTTTTTCTGTCCAAGTTTTCGTCCACAAAATGACTAACATGGAAATGTTTTACGTGTAGAATCTATGTCAGACTGCTCATTGTCTCAGGAAAGGGGGCAGAAAAAGGAAGGGAGGGATAAAATTGGGAACTCAAAACTAAAAACAAAAAACCTAAATGCTAAAAATTATTTTTACGTGTAACTGGGGAAAAAATAAAATATTATTTTTTAAGAAAAAGATTATAGGGGCAACTAGGTGGCGCAGTGGATAAAGCTCCTGCCTTGGAGTCAGGAGGACCTGAGTTCAAATCTGACCTCAGACACTTGACAGTTACTACCTGTGTGACCCTGGGCAAGTCACTTAACCCCGACTACCTCACCAAAAAGCAAAAAGAAAAAGAAAAAACAAAAAAAAAGATTACACCAGAGTTCTTGCTAGGTAGAAGGAAAGCCAGATTTAAGGTGAGTGGATTTCATGGGGTTCAGAAAAAGGCTATCTCGCATTCTAAAGGGGAAATAGAACCGAGACAGAGGGAAAAAACACTCAAAAATGAAAGACAAACAGAAATCATTCCAGTTTGGAGGAAGGGGGGAAATGCCCCACGACAACTAAGATCTGTAAAAGCCCTACGGAGCAGACGGACACAAGGGTGGGTCACTGAGGAGGACGATCAGAGGAGCCCAGTCTAAGAAGCTGAGGCTGGTGAGGAAAGTGTGCACCAGGCAAGTGTGGACAGACAAGCCATACCAGGGTGGCTGCTGGAGAGGGCCTTAAATGCTGAGGTCAGGGAGGAGGATGGGCCTGAGAGGGCCCTTGGCACCTGGCTGGATTCTTCCTGGGCGCAGGCCGCACAGAGATGCCACAGACCGGCGGAGGGGAGCACCATCCCTCTGGGGGGAACCCGGGGTCACAACCTGGCCTTGCTCCCTCACTCGGGCGACCCTCGTCCCAACTCCCTTGACGTCAACAAGGACGCTGACCCAGATGACCGCCCCGTCCCCGGCAGGCCGAGCGGGCAGCCCCCGCACCCGGCTCCTTGGGCCCAGGATGTGGCCACACTCCTTCTTTCCCTCCCCTACACGGGAAGCAGCCAGCGGCGACCAGTGCCTAGTGGGGGGCCTCACGGCCAGCCTGGGACAGGGGCTACGGGCGATGCTACTGCGCCCATCCGGCGGACGAGGAAGCGGAGGTGGGGAGCCCCGCGAGGCCACCCTCGGCTGCGGTCACGCACCCGCCAAGAATGGGAGGCCGCGCTTCCTGCTCTTCCAAATCAGAGAATGTATATTTAACAGCACGTATGAAGACACCACTTGAGCTTTCACTGCAGCCAACAGGAAAAATGTTCACATATAAAAATGAAGCTTTGAAATCATGAATAGTTTTAAACCATAATAGACTGAACAAAAACTGTCCAACGCCGAGCCCCCACAAAAATCACCCCAAGTCCGAGGCTGCCCCGGAGACGCCGGTCTGCGCGTAAAGCCAACAGGGAACGACGGACAGACGGACAGACAGACGGGCATCTCCTGGCGCCCAGCACCCTCCAGCTGCTACATCTTGGGCTGCCCTGGATGGTGCAGGCACCCCAGAGGGCAAGTCCGTGAAATGCGCCGCTCCCACCCTGCTCGGGCAGGGCTCAAGGGGAGGGCTCTCCTCCCTGGCAGGCGCCGGCGCCCCCAACGCCCCCACGCTCCTGTAGGCTGGAGGTGCTGGTAGCGGCGACCGTCAAGGCCAAGGTGGGGACAGGTTCGCTACGCGGCTCTTTGGGTGATCATTTCCTGCTAGGAACAGGAAGAAAGAAGGATCCGCCAAAGCCAGGGCTGCCCACGGGGAGGCCCGAGCGCCAGGGGCGCTGGGCCGTCCTACCTGGCCTCACGACTCTGCGTCCGACTCAGAGCTGCTTTGCCGACTGATCTCAATCTGCAGAGACGGTAAGCGCTCCAAGCGGCTCTTCTTCTGGTGCGACTGCTCCTTCTCCTTGATTAGAGCGCCCCACGCCCGCTGAAGCTCCGAGTCCTCCTCCTCGGGGGCCGCCGCCGCCACGGGGTCTGCCTTCTCGGCCTTCTCCCTGGCCTTCGCGGCAGAGCCCAAGCGGGTCCATAAGCTGCCTGCCGGGGGGGGGGGGGGGGGGGCGGGCGCGGTCAGTGAGGAACCGGGGCCTCCCCACCCTGCAGATGACAGGTCAGCAGTCCAGCCCGGTCCCTGCCCTGCCCGCTGGCAGCTTACACTCTATGGGGGAGACTGCAGGGGTGTGTGTGAGACACGTGGGTCTGCGTGTGAAGACGACCGAACCATCACCACACAGGTGGGAGATGGCAGGTGAACGCCCCCCACACGAAAAACATCTTCCACGTGCCATGCCCTGTGCCAAGTGAGGATGACACCGATGTGACGACGTCCCTGTCCTCAAGGAGCTTACAATCTACGAGGGGAGGGGGGCCCAGTCTGGCCGGCCTGCTGACCCGCAGAGGTGGCGTGCGCGTGGGCCTGCCTGCGCACGCGCCTCGCACGCTCACACCTGCTGCTGCCTGGCACCCACCTGACTTCTTCTCCCGGGCGTCAGAGTACAGGCCCTTGACGTCCTGCCTCGGAATGCCGAGCCTGCTGTGCACGTCGGACGTCGGCTCTCTCCGGGGGGTGAAGGCGCCGCTCGGGGTCTTGGCTTCTGGAGAATGTGCTCTCTTTCCCAATCTCTGATGTACATCTGGGCACAGGGAGGGAAAGACCCGGGGCCTGAGCGGGCTCCTCTTCCCACGCGGGCCGCTGCTGCTCCCAGGCCCCAGGAAACAGCTTCCTTCCGCAGGGAGTCCGCCTGGGGCCCCAACGGGGAAAGCTCAGTCGGAGTGCGGGGGACAGGCCCGAGCCCATGCTGCTCCCCAGGGTTCGTTTGGGGGATTCTGATAGTGTTTCATGGCTGGAACCCCCACCTAGAGGGACTCCGTGTGAGTCTCTGCCTCTGTCCCTTTCTCTCCTCCCCTCCTTCTCTTCCTCCCTCCCCCTCCATCTCTCTCCTCTTCCCACCCTCTCCAGCTCTCTCTTTTCTCTCCTGCTTCTACCCTCCCCGAAAGACCCCCTCTTCGGGGGGCCATACCAGATTTGACGCTGCTCACAGGCGGCCTCTGCGCTGTGTTTTGCCGCTTCTCCTCGAGCAGGAACCGCACATCAGACGCCCCTTTGTTCCCAATGCGGTTTTTTACGTTGCTGGTGGCTACACTGTCCGCCTTCATGGAGTTCCTGTACAAAAACAGCGACCCCACCTGGTTCTTATCTGGGGATGCTGGACAAACAGCCTCCCCAGCCTTGTGTAGGGAGGCCTGCCCACCCTGGGACTGCAGCTGACAATGTAATGCTGACCAACCACATGGATCGCTTTGGTTCCTTTTTTCCACAAAGGAAACGTGGCTGCCTCTATCCTGCGCCCCGTGGGAGGCAATGCCGGGGCCAGGAGAGAGCTGGGAGCTTTGTTCCCCTGGCCCACAGGAAGCGAGAGCCATGCCAACCCCACACTTTCCTCCCCAGGCCAGGCCAGTCTGGAGAATCCATTATCTCCAGGTCCCTGGGCCATGGCGGGTGCCTGACATCACTCAGGAGGCCTCCACCCTGCAGCACACTCAGAGGACGGATGGACTGACACGATGTGGTTCAAGCAGGGGTGGGGAACGTGCGGTCTCAAGGCCACACGTGGCCCTCTAGGTCCTCAAGTGTGGTCCTTTGACCAAATCCAAACTTCACAGAACAAATCCCCTTAATAAAAGGAGCAAACCCATGGCCAACAGCTTCAGGAATTAACGATCCAAAGGTAAAAGCCATGGGCGGATGCTGACTGGAGTTGCCCTTCTAACCCAACAACAGAGGGAGCAGGTTGGGGAGTGGGAAGAGAGCCCCGGGTTCTAACCCTGTCTTAGTTTCTTCATCTATAAAATGGGGCTATCTTGTACACAGTAACAGCCACGTTGTGCGATGACTAACATCGATAGACTTAACCCTTCCCAGCAATGCAAGGACCTAAGACGTCTCCAGAGGCCTCGTGATGGAAAATGCTATCCACACCCAAAGAAAGAACCATGGAATCTGAACGCAGAGGACATGCAGACTATGTGCTCTTTTGCCCTCTGTTTTGTTTAGTTTCCTCTTTCTTGTGGTTCCTTCTATTGGTTCCAATTCTTCCTTACAACACGACTAATGTGAAAACATATTTAATAGGAATGTGTACGTAGAGCTATATCAGATTGTGTGCCGTCTTGGGGAAGGAGGGGGAGAAAAATTCAAAACTCAAAAGCTTATGGACGTGATTGTTGATAAATCAAAACAAATTAATAAAAAAAAAACCGAAATGGGGCTATCCGTGCCCATCCTACCTTTTTTCCTGGGTTGTCCCAAGGCTCAAGTGACATTAGGAAGGTCAAACACTTTGTAAAGCTTCAGTCACTCACTACCCTCAAGTCCCACGCCTTAAATGAGGGCAGCGGGTCACCAGGAGTCAAAGCTGCCTTCAAACCCATCTGTCTGAGTGGGGAGGCTCAGGGGCTGATGTTCGGCCACTGCCTTCTTGCCAGAGGCCCGGCTGTGCCGTGACCCCACCTCCCCCACTGCTTCAGGCCAGCGAGCTTAGAAGAAGGAGTGGACTGTGGATGTGTGTGTGTGTGTGCGCGCGTGTATGCGCGCGCACACGCATGTGCTTGCACACCTACCTGGGGAATGTGGAGAGGAGAAGAGGCACATGGATCATCTCCTAGGCCCCAGGCAAGGCCTGAAGAAGCTGGTCAGGGAGGCCCGCCCACCTTACCGGATGCTCCTCAGCTGTGACTCCACCTCGTCGGCGTACATGGTCATCTTCAAGCTCTTCTTTGGCGACGGTGTGGAAATCATCTTCAGCTCCAGATCGTAATCCATCTCGTCCGAGTCGGAGCCCGAACCGCTAGCACTGGGCCGACGGGACGCACTTCGCTCACGCGCCTGCTTGAAGGCTTGCAGCTCATCCCGGTACTCCACCACAATCCTGTCGTCTTCATCCATGTCCTGGTCTTCCTCTTCATCCTCCTCCTCCTCCTCTTCCTCCTCCTCAATAGGCTCCTCCGGAACATTCACCAGACCTGGAAAAATTCAATCAAGGGAGTAGGGAAAGACCCCAAACAACAGGTCTCGCAGCATCCTGTCCGCCTGCCTTTCCCTCCTCTCAGACGCTCCCTGGTGGGAAGAGAAAGGCAGGGGGTCCATGGCAGTCTCTGAGTCATCCAGCAACAATAATCTTTCCCCATACAGGTTGGGGGATCTGAATTCAAATCCTGCCGAAGGCTCTCAGCCTCATTTTCGTCACTGGCCTCCCTCACCGAAGCATCTTGAACAAAGTGCTTTGCAAAGTGTCAAGACAACAGAAATGGGCCACTCCCATCCCAGACATCAGCTGACTTGCTGTGGCACTGGATGAGACGGATGGTAAAATGGTGCTTCTCCAAGGGGGATCGGTGGATTTGTTTAAAACCTCACGGGGCCCTTCCTCTGAGAAGGGTGAGTGTGAGTGTGATCTTTCCCTGGGCACACAGCTGAGCCTGCCTGGCAGTCCAACAAATGGGGGATGTTACCAGACCTCCATGGGCCTGAGCTGCCATCTAACTAATGAAGGGACCAGATGCAAGACCTAGGCCCAGAGTCAGGAAGAGCTGGATTCAAATCCAGCCTCAGACATGTACTAACGGTGACGTAAAATGAGATCACACCCGTGCAGTGCTGAGCACAGGGTCTGGCACCCGGGAGGTGCTCCATAAAACCTCCCCTCCTCTGCCTAGAGCACATGGCTGGGCCCAGCCTCCATGCAGCAAGGCTGAGGAGCCACGCCGAGGGCCGACATCACCCAATCCACCTCGGAGGGGCGCCCCCAAAACACCTCTTCCTCCTGCCCTGGTCTTTCAAACACCACACATTTTCCGACCCATCTCAGAGGCAGAAGGGACTCTCTAGGAGCCCTCCTGTGATGGGGAGCTCACCACCTGCCGAGGCAGCTCTCACAGTCAGGAAGCCTTCAGGGGCATCGAGCTGTGCCCTTCACAAGGTGGGCAGACCTTCAAATACCTGAAACAACTGCCTTCTGTTCCCCAGGACTCCTTCAACAGAGCCCCCCACAACCCAGGCTTCCCGTCCGCCCCCTAGCAGACACGCACCTGTCTGCCACCGTCCTTCCTGGAGACACCCCCCACCCCGGCCCCGCTGTCACGCTGCGGAGTCTGCCGAGCTGGTAGGTGCCCACTCTCGACTCAGGCCAGCAGCCTTCTATGAGTCTGGATAAGGTGGGGGAGGAGAAGGAGTCAGGCGGAAGAGGAAGGGGGGAAGCTCCAAAGGCACCCCCCACCCCAGGTACCTGCGTGCCGGTGCTTGTAGGGGGGGGTCAAGGTCAGCCCCACATCATCCCCAATCAGCGTCCGCTTCCTGAGCACATCCCTCTGGATGCGGCGGGAATGGTATCTTCTTTTCCTGTGCAGTTGTCAGAACAAACACTCTCAGCCATCGCCCGCTTCTCTCCAGGGACCCCCTGGCCCCGCCCCAGCCTCCTCGAGGCCCAGGGGCCCACCGCCCACCAGCTCCCAGGAGGCTCCGGCCTGCCTTCCCTACTCGCTGAGCAAAGTTCTCAGCAGATCTGCGTGAAGGGAGCAGAACCAGGAGAACGTTGGACACAGTAACAGCCACGTTGTGCTATGACTGATTCTGATAGACTCAGCCCTTCCCAGCAATACAATGATCTAAGACATCTCTTAGGGACTGTGGAAAATGCTATCCACATCCAAAGAAAGAACCACGGAGTTTGAATGCAGATCGAGGCAGACTATTTGCTCTTTTTTTCCCTCCGGTTGAGTTTTCTTTCCTCTTTCTGGTGGTTCCTCCTATGGGTTCTAATTCTTCCTTACAACCTGACTAATGTGAAAATATGTTTAATAGGAATGTATATGTAGAGCCTATATCAGACTGTGTGCCATCTTAGGGAGGGAGAGAAAAATTTAAAACTCAAAAGCCTATGGAAGTGATTGCTGACAAATCGAAATAAATCAATTTAATTAATTTTAATTTTAATCCTAACTAATTAATTAAAATGAAATAAGTTAATTAAAAAATAAATAAAAGAGCCTCCTAATTTGGGAAAAAAAAAGTCCTCGGTAGATCGACACCCCCACCTCGTGGCAGAGTTCAGCAGGATGGCTTCACTCCAACCTACTCACTATGAGCAGACAGATGGGCTGGGGGCCCCATGGCCACAAAGCACTCCTCTCCTGACACACAGAACCCACAGAACCCTCCCCGCCGTGCTGCCCCCTCCCCTACACATGCCGTTGTAAGCCCTCTGCAGGGGAGGCTTTCGCTTCTGTCTCCGCATCCCCAGCGGCCAGCAGAGCCTGGCCCACAGGAGGCGCGCATTCAGGGCTGGCCAGGGGCCGTGTGCCGGCCAGCCTCGCTCACCACGAGTTGCTGAGGATGCCCTTCATGCCTCCGTAGTTGGGATTCCCGTATTTCATGTAATACTGGCTCCTCCGTGCCGCGCCGAGCTCCTTCTTGTCATCTACAAAGACAGGAGAGGACGGCACCGAGTCCATTGCGTTGCCCCCTCCAGAACGCTAAGAGGCCCCAGGGGCACAGTCCAGGGCTGGGGGTGGTCCTCAGGAGTTGACATGGAGCTACACGGTCACCGAGGTCCTCTAGTACCCGAGAGGGGTCCGCACACAGAGCGGGCACTCTAGTCACCACCAAGGGAGGGAACCCCCCCCCACCCCGGCACCTAAACACATACCCCACACCCACACCCACACATGCACACGCGCGCACACACACACACACAGCAGCCCAGACCTACCTTTTGTGGCAAATCTCATGAATAACTTATTCCCTTTGGCCAGTTTGTTGGCCGGACGAAGGTCATTCCGTAAGAGGGAATCTTCTTCTACCTGGGACAGCGCATCCAACTTGAGAACACAAAACATTTGCAGAGTAAAAGACGTGACGTCACATGGCCTCCTCTGTGCCCCCACTGGAATCCAGGCCTGGCAGCCCCTGCGAGTGAGCCCAGCGTGCATGCCCTGTGTCCTGCGGCTGTGCGTGCCCCTCCCTGGTGCCTCACGGGGCAGGGTGGCACCTGGGCTAATGGGGTGGGGAGGGACGAAATGCCCCTCGAAGGCTGCAATCTGCATCCGTGAGGCAGGACCCACACTGAGGGCAGCACAGACCTTCTCAGAAGTTTTAGGGTTGCTGCCACCACCGTACAGCAAGGCTCCAGGATGGCCTGGGCCGTCCCACCCCCCGCTAGCGGCTAGAGGCCCTGGTGTCCTCCTGACTGACCTCCAGGTCACTCGCGGTGTCATCTTCCACCTCTCCCTCCTCGGTCTCATCATCAGAGCTGTCCTGTTTGTCTAGATTAGGGTGCAGAGGAGAGGTGAGGCCCCCACTTTCGGCCCCCTCAGGGTCTGTCCCCTGCTCCACCCCAGGTACCTTTCCTCATCTTCTCTGGGGCTTTCTCCTCGCTGGCCTCTCGGGCTTTGGTTTTATCCGTGCTGGGCAGGGAGCTCATGTTGATCAGGGCCCGAGTCGCGGTCACCTCATCCAGCCAGACCACGTTACCTGGTGGGGGATGGGGTACCCTCTCGTTAAACATCCAGGTGAACCAAGGAGGCCTGGTCCTCATCAGGGAGCACCCGCCACATGGCAGGGGGGTGGGGGTGTGTGGGTGTGTATCATGTCCTAAACATCCAGGTGAACCAAGGAGGACCAGCCCCTCGGCCTTGGACCGCAGCATCAGGGAGCACGCGCGCGTGCATGCGTGCATGCGTGTATCACTTTGTGTTTCTGGCCCTTTCTTTCTAACTCCAAATCACCATGTCTCCCACTCGCCAAAACCTGGGCCAAGTCCACAAAGCCTCTCCTAAGGGCCTCCACAGGAGGAGCCCCTGGGGACCGAGCTCGCTGCTCGCAGGTTCAAAGAGCCAGACTGGCCAGCTCCCAGGTCTGAGGATGCCCTGTGCTGATGTGGCACTGCCTCCTGGGCCTAGGGAGTCTTGTAGAAAACCTTCTCTGATCAAACTACAGGTCACAGGCTTTTGGGCTTCAGTCTCGGGCCTACTTTGCTGGCACCTCCCTCCCCCCTCAAGGTTGTCACAAGGATCAACCGAGACCATCCTGGCCTGGCACACAGTATGTGCTTCATTGGTGCTTCCTTCCTCCCTTCCCCCTCCTTCCCAGAAGAAGTGTGAGCCCTGAAGATGAGAGAGATGCAGGCTTAGAGGGCCCCTTTATCACCCTGGGCCTCACACTGTTCCACCTGTTAACTGGGGATGATAAGAAAACCCAGCCCACAGTACCCACAAAACCCAGGTCTAGTACACCGGGTGATCCTGACAGGCTCAAGGAAGGCAGACTAGCCCTGGCGCCGTCAGCACATGCATCTGGGGGACCTCTAGGCACGTCAGCCTCGGCCCCGGCACCCTCACTCCAACCCAGATGCTTGGGTCTACACAATGTTCGATAGACCCTCTCTCGGCAGAGCCCGAGCGGCTTTAAGGCTGCGGTCTAGAAAGCCCTCCCAGGAGAGAGGATGTGGCCTGGCCTGGGCGTCTGAGCCGTCAGCACAGCTGGGAGGGCTTCGGTCTCCTCAAACGCCCCCCGCGGCAGGTCGGGCCCATTGGCCTTCTCACTCACAGGAGGTATCGTCCAGCCACTCGATGTGAGCAGGGGGGTACTCCTTGAAGTAGGTGAAGATGTCCTGGGTGCTCATCTCATCAACTCCACAGACGTAGATGGTTTCCAGTCTCACCTTGGGGATCGCTGTGAAGGCGCAAAAAATTTTAGGAATTAAAATATTAATGGATTTGAGCTTTAACGTTTTCTTAATTGACAGAAACTGGTTACCACCAGCACGGATGCCATCGTCACAGGAAGTCAGAGACGAGGACTCCCCTACCCCCGACCGCTGGACCCAATCTTTTTGGGGCCACACCCAATGCCCCTCAGTTTCATGGCTGAGGCAGGGGTGCCTGCAGGGTGAGCCAGGTATTTTCCCACCTAACCCCCAGCTCCCTCCCCACCAGCTTCAGATCGATAATCCACGCTCCCTCGGCTCATCTTTGAGGGTGGGGCCAAGGGCTCCGATCGAGCTCTGGAAGGGACTTCTGAGACCAACACCTTAGTCACTCCATGGTCTACAAGCATCGATTAAGCACCTAGCACGTGCCAGGCCCTTGGCTAAGTGCTGGGGATGCAAAGAGAGGCAAAAGACAGTCCTGGCCTTTGAGGAGCTCACAACAATGAGGAAGACAACATGCACACCTGTGTACAAACAAGATGTAGACAGGACAATGTGGAGAACGTCTCAGAAGAAAGGTACGAAGATCAAGGAGGACCCAGAAAGGCTTCCTGTAGAAGGGGGAGGTTTAGTTGGGATTTACAAGAAGTCAAGGAGGTCAGTAGTTGGAGGAAGGGAGGGAGAACATTCCAGATCTTGGGGACAGCCAGAGAAAATGCCTGGAGTCAAGAGGATGGAGGAACAGCCAGGAGGCTGGTGTCCCCGGATCAAATAGTATATGGCAGGATGTAAGGTAAAAGATTAGAAAGGTAGGAGGGGACTGGGTTATGAAGGGCCTTGAATGGCAAACATAGTGTTTTGTATTTGATCCCAGAGGCACTAGGTAGTCACTGGAGTTGAGAGAGAGAAAGAGAGACAGAATGTGTGTGTGTGATGGTTGGACCTGTGCTTTAGGAAAATCACTTTGGTGAATGAACAGACTGCAGCAGGGAAAGATTTGAGGTAGGCAGCTACTGCAACACTCCAACAGCTATTGCAACAATCCAGGCATGAGATGAGGAGGGTCTGCACCAAGGTCAGGGAAGTGTCTGAGAGGAGGGGGCTTAATCAAGGGATGGTGCAGAAGTGAAATGAACAAGAGATGTTGCAAAGGTGAAATGGACAAGAGATGCTGCAGGGGGGTGAAATGGACAAGAGATGCTCCAGGGGTGAAATGGACAAGAGATGCTGGGTGGGGGTGGGGGTGGGGGAGAAATGGACAAGAGATGCTGGGGGGGGTGTGAAATGGACAAGAGATGCTGGGGGGGGGGTGAAATGGACAAGAGATGCTGGGGGGGGGGTTGGAAAGGGCCAGGGGGGGGGGGGGGGGGGGGGGGGGGGAATGGACAGGCGTTGGGGCGGGTGGGGTTAGGGGGGGGTTAGAATGAGGGATCCAGGATGACTCCTAGGCTGTGAACCTGGAGGACTGGGGGGAGGGTGTCGTTCTCTACTGTAATAGAGAAGGCAGGAGTGAGAGGCACGGGTGGTTTAGTGGAAAAGAGAATGGGGTGTGTTTTGGACATATTAAGTTTAAGATGTCAACGGGACATCCAGTTGGAGATGTGAAGCTGGAGGTCAGCAGAGAGACAGGGGCTGGGTAAACAGACTGAATTCATATACTCTAGTGAGGGCCCAAACCTATGGAAGCCGGCGGGCCGAGAGACCGTGAAAGAATCAGATGAGTTTACCAAGACAATAAATACAGGTTAGGGTTAAAGGTTAGTCTGAGGAGAAAGGTGCGGCCCAGCGAAGGCCTGTGGTTAATCCCACAGATTTCAGAAGACGGGTCACTGAATATGCTGCCCTCTGATGTAGTCCTATGCCCCAAAGATGTAAGAGAAAAAGGGGCCCGACGTACAAAAATATCAACAGCAGTACTTTTTGTGGTGTCTAATGTAAAGGCACACGCCTATGCCCTAAGAAATGAGGAACCTCCCGTGGCCAGAGTTCAAATGAAGGAAGCAGTGTGGACACGGGCAACCACCTGGCAAAGGCTAAAGAGGCTGAGAGGCAAGGGCCTCACGGGCAGGGTCAGGCACGTGCTGTGCAGCTGCAGCCAGTGAGGACCAGGCATGTTGGTTACAAGCCCGCCATCTTGTTTTCCCTGGAGGAGGTGGGGTGGGGGGAGGGAGAGAATCAAAGCCTAGAGCTGAAGGGGGCAGTCCAGGCGAGAAGAGGAGGGATGGCCCAGGTTGGGGCCGCGGGGTTCAAGCCTTGGACGTGGTCCCCAGTCTCCTGGGGGCATCAGTAGGTTCCTCATACATCCCTCCAGCCAGTGACCTCACACCTGGGGACGTAGTTAAGGAGAAGCCCGTCAATGAACACGGTCAAGAAGAGAGGAATACGTAGGGGTCATTTCTGTCTATGGCTCAAGAGAAGATCAGGAGCCCCAAAGGAGGCCATCCCAACACGTTGGGGGCCCCTTGGGCACAACTTCCAAGAGGACCTAGAAGAAAGAATCTGCACCTCCAAGAAGACCCGCATAGACGGACTGCCCAGGTCTATCCGTGTCTACACATGGGGGAGAAATCTGGACTCACTGGCTTCTTTCTTCAAGTCCCTAAGAACAGGGAGACCTGGCGCAGTCACCGCAGGGACTGAGTGAGTGGCCTGACCCCGGCAGGCGCCCAGGAGTTCATGCCACTGCCTTTTTTCACTCCCCAGCTGGGCAGCGAGGGCCACCCCCCCCTCGAGGGGGCAGGGCAGCCTCCCGCACTTTCCTTTCTCCTGAAAGTGCCCCAGGATTTCCAAACAATTGGTCTCTTTCTCCACTGGGGTCCAGGCCTTCCTGGGTCTCTTCTGTCGGTGACAGAGGAAGGTTATTCCTCCTCACAGATGTTTGGGGGTGCCTGGAGGTCCCCTCCTCATGACAGACACAAGTCATTCAACAGAGATCAGTTTAATTTCGCTCGGCAATACCAGGACCCGCCTCTTCAAGTGCTTCTCCATCTGCCCCTCCCTGGGGGCTCCCATATCTTCTCCCCCTGGCACCCCTAATTTCACTTCATCCCAGCATCACACCAACCCCAAGGGAACAAAGGTGAAGGGGGCACCCTCAGCTGCTGGGGGGGGTGTCTCCCCTACCTTTCTTCATCATGTCTCGGTCCAAGGCCACGTTCCGTTGGGCAAGGTTGACTTCGGCCCGGAAGTGAAAGCGCTTGGCGCGCTGCTCTTTCTTCTGGATGGCTTCCTACAGAGCGTGAGACGGAGGATGAAAGGCCAATCGGGGGCTAAGCAGGCAGGCGGGCACCAGGCCCTCCACAGATCCCAGCCAAGGCAGATGCCGAGACACGGCCACACGGCTCCCTGCCTTCACCAGACGTGAGAACGGTGCCCCGCCACAGCCTCTCCTGCTGCTGCCCCGGCCGTCAAAGGGAGCCTCTCCTTTCCCTCTTGTGGCTGACGAGACCAGGCCCAGGCAGGGAGGAGCAGCAGGGCTAGGCAGGGAGCACGTGGACGGACATGCCGGCCTCACTGGAAGCCCCCACCAGGACAGACCCTAACTCTGACCCCCGACCTCATTTCCCACGCCTTTTGGAAACTCCCTTCCTGACTTTCGATCCCCAGTGAGGGAGGACGCCCAGGTCGAGTCACGGGACAGACTGATCTCAACCCAAAGGGCTGGAGGGCTGCACTGCCCACGTGGTCACTGGGGAGAAGAGGACCTAGCACGCAGAGGAAGGACACGGACGGCTCCCCCACAGCTGGAGGGAGAGGGCCCGTCCACCAGGCGAAGCCAGCGGGAGCCTGACCGGGGCGCAGAAAACGCCAGCCTCTAGGACCGAGGCTTCCAGAGAGCAGGGGCCGGGACCTCGGCCGTTGGCAAGGTGGGCTGAGAGGCCTGATTAGTCAGAGCGCTTGGCCACCAAGCAAAGGACAAGAACTGGGCACCCATCTAGTGATCCACACCTAGCCCACGGCTGGGCACACAGCAGGTGCCTAATAAATGCTTATTGACTGACTGACGGAAAAGAGGGGTGAGGTCCATTCTAAATGTCAGAGAAAAGACTTGTAGGGTTAGGTGTAGAGGCTGACGGGAAGGGGAGAGGGAGCCTGCAGAGTCTGGCCAGGCAGGGCCTGCTCCCCCTCCGCTGCACCTACAGGGATTGCTTTGCGGGGAGGGGGGACGGCTGCGGGAAGGGTGTGCTCCCATCTCACAATCGAGAAGCCCCCCCCCCCCCCCGCACTGATTAAGCACCTACTGTGTGCCAGGCCCTGGACAAGCGCTTTACAAATCTTCCTCCCGGTCCTGACGACCACTCCAGGCAGGAGCTGTTACCTTCACTTTACAGACGAGGAAATCATGGCAGACCGGGATACCCGGCTAACCTAGGTCACCCTGCTAATCAGTGGGGGCAGAATCTGAACTCAGGCCCGCGCCGTGGCACTCTACCCCCCCCACCCAGGTATGCCCTCCATCTCCGGCCTCCGAACCTTTGCTGGGCTGCTCTCCCTCCTCCTGCTCTTGGGCCAGCCCCTCTCCTACAGGAAGCCTTTCCCCCAGGTCCTGACCCTCCGGTGGAGGCGGGTGTAGACAGACCCCGGCCGTCTCCCCACTGAACACGGAGTTCATCCCCAACCACAGGTGCATTGTGGGAGGGAGCAAAAGCAACAAAGTATCCGCCCGGGAGCATCCCCGCCCCCCCCCCCGGCGCCTCCCCGCGCAGGGACCCCCGCCGGGTGAGCCGGCCTCCGGGGCTCCTCCCTACCTTGGAGGTGACGTCGATGCCCGTGATGAAGCTCCCCGCCTTGTTCTCGTAGCGGCGACTCGTGTCCTAGAACGAGACGGGCGGTGAGGGGGACCCCCGACCCCTGCCCTCGCTCCCTGCCGCCCCAGGGCCCCGGCGCGCCCGGCGGGGGGCTCTGCGGGGCGCACCCACCCGGCGGCCGGACCCCGGCGTCCTACCGGCAGCAGCGAGCGCCGCACCGGCACGGCCTCCAGCTCGCCCTCCTCCACCTCCATGGGCTCGGGCTCGCTCCGCTCGGGGCCCGGCCCCAGCAGCCCCAGGGGCGGCCCCGCCGCCGCCGCCGCCGCCTCGGCCTTCACCGACACCCGCAGGCCGCGCACGGCCGCCATGGCGCCGCCGCCGCCGCCGCCGTCCGCCGTCCGCCCGCCCTCCAGGAGCGCCAGCGAGAGCGCGTGCGCGCCGCCCAGAGCGCCGCCGCACGCACGCACGCGCACCAGCGAGAGCGAGCGGGCCGCCCAGAGCGCCGCCGACGTACCATCGAGAGGAAGCCTCTGCGGCCTAGAGCGTCCCCGAGGATGCCTCCGCCCCTCTCCCCGCCCCTCCGCGGAGCCGTTGCCGTAGTTACGGCTTCCCTGGCTCCTGCGCCTGCGCCGGTCTCCCGGAGGAGAAAGCGGAGGGAAGGCCGGCTGGCCTGGGGTAATTCGCGATTTTCCGCCTCCCCTCGGCATCCTTCTTTTTCCCGCAGGGGTCTCCTCCCTCCACCTTCACCTTTAGTCCCAGGTGGTGGGAATCGCGCTGCCCGTGTACCCACCGCATAGATTTTGTTTCCTTAAGCATTTATGAAGCTCTTGCAGTATGCCCCGCGCCCTGCCCTCGAGGTGCTGACGCTCTAATGGGGCAGCAACACCCAGAAGGGTTGGGAGCGGACAGAAATACCCAGGGCGAGTCTTGGGCCAAGGAGTCAGCCAAGAGGAGGGCACATCCGGGGGTGGAGGGAGCCGGCCTGGACAGAGGACTGCCCGGGAGGGGGCTGGGGAAGCCGGTGCCTGTCCCATCCTCCACCTGGGCGAGGAATGTCCACTGCCCCCACGCAGCGATCAGAGGTGTGGTGCCTATGGCACCGGCTTGGGTGAGACGCCTCCAGCATCCCCCAGATGGGAGGAGCAGCTGGGGCCATGTGGGCGGTGTCCCGAGAGTGAGCGGCTCTCCCCACGCTGGGCTAGGTGGGCAGTGTCTCATTGCCAGATGAGCGCCCACAGACTATCGGTCCCCTGCCCTCTGTTCTTTCCTTCTTTCCCTCATTCGCACCATCATATATATATATAATGAAATATGCCTCCAGCGGTCCCTGCCTCAGAGTCACTGCTGACCATTGCCATGGAGGTCTGGGAGCCACACTGGGGAGAAGAGGGGAGGTGGTGGCGTGGCCAAAGAGGCAGAGGAAGAGTGGGGTGCACATCTGGGGCCCTCCCCTCCCAGTAGCCCCTCGGAGCCGCGCGCCTTATTCATGTAACACTAAGAAACCCCAAGAGCTATTCCTTCTGAAACCCAGTGGCCAAGAACTGTCCAGAGCACAGTCCATGGCCCTGCCAGGGATCGAGACTCTTCTGGAGACCTGGGAGAAAAAGAAAAAAGGTCCTCAGTGTCCCAGCCAGGGAGTGTGAGGTCACTCCTGCTGGCTGACCTGCTTGGGGAGGAGAGGCCTCGAAGAATGGAACTCTGATGGGTTGGGTTGGGTAAATGGTCTCTGTTGGCTAAGTCCCCTGGTCGGGGCAGTCCCTAGAAGCTCCTGATATTTAATGAGGTGGCTCTGGGGTTAGGGGCAGCTGTTAATGGGGGGGGGGTCCCAGAGGAGACTGCTGCTCTGTGACGGGCGATCCTGGGTGCAGGAGAGGAAAGCCAGGCAGCAGGAGGGAGAGGCAGCTCACCCTGAGACTATTGGAGCGGCTGGGCCCGGGAAAGGGCACCTGGCCCATTCTCACGCTGCTCAGTGGGAAGGCTCAAAAATTGGTCAAATTAGACCTTTAAAGATGCATCCTTTAGCATCAGGCTGCCAGGGCCCTGGAGGAAAAACATAGTATCTGGGGTCCGAGGGCCAGGATTGGCTTCCTCCTAGCTGCACGAGATAAGGCGAGACACGACCTACCTGGACCTCAGTTTCCCCATCTGTAGAACAAGGGGCTGGGACTAGAAAGTCTCTGAAGCCCCTCCTAGCCCCAACTGATGATCCTATAAAAGCATGACAAGAAAGTGGAGCAGCCTCAGAGAACAGCCCCAGGGTGACTGAAAGGGGCGGAAGGAGGTTTTAGATCAAGATAGTCTGTGGCTGGGCGGGAGGGCTGGGGCTGAGGGCCAAGGGCAGGGAAGGTCTGCGGGCTGGGGCCTCCATTTCGGCACCACTCTCTGCCCATGGAGCCCAGGCCGGGGGATCACAGCCCTGGGAATGGGCACTGCCCAGGCGTGTGGCTCCGGAAGGGGGCGCAGGGGGAACTTAATGAGGCGGTCTGACTCTGAACAGGAGGGGAGAGGCTGAGGAGCCGGCCCCTCCCCCTTGTCCTCGATGAGACTGGCAGCCGGGAGGGAGCTGCAGATTGGGAGCAGAAGCCCACCCTGTGCTTCCCTCCCTGCTCGGGGGCCTTGGAGGCGTCCCGTGCCTTCTGCCTAATTCTCCACCCTCCCTCTGCAGCTGTTCTTGGTCTGAGCACCAGGAGACAAGACGCCTGTTCCGGGAGCCCTCCGCTTCTACCTGCCCCCCTCCCACTTCTAGCGTCCTCCTGGACGCTGTCTCCCCTCCCCCCCAACCTCCCATGTTAGATTGTAAACTCCTTGAGGTCAGGGCTGTCTTTTTCTTATTGGTATACCTGGTGCTTAGCATAATGCCTAGCATACAGTCGGCACTTAATAAATGCTTATTGAATTGAATTGCTGAATAAGTAGTTGAAGCCGTCCTGGCCTCTTAACCCATCTCCCTAAGACCTAAGTGTTCTTTCTGCCTCCAGCCCCCTCCCAGCTGTCTCTGCCAACTCTGACCCTGTCACCACCAGGGGGCTCCGCACGGCGGAGAATCAGATGAAATCCAACCCCTGGTCATGGCGATGGGTGTCTATCACGTGACTGCCCGTGCCAGCCAAAACGGTGCACTGGCAGGTCCTGGCGGGCCTCTGGGCCCCTACCCAGGCCGATGCCCCAGCCTAGAAGTAACGGCCTCCCGCCCTTCCCGGAAGCCCTGGCCCCCTTGTCTCTCTCTGCCGCTGCCCGGTTAACGCTCTCCTTGCGTTCCCATCCCCGGTCCCATGCGGGTGGCTGTCGAGCAAATCGTCCCTCCCTCTAGCTCTCCAGCTCTGCTCACTAGCGTCCTCCCTCTCTTGTGCCTCTCGTGGTCACACTCCGAACAAGCTGACTGCTTCCACTTGCTGCCTCTTCTTAAGCCCTGAACGATCCAGCACCGAAACCACTCTCCCCAAAGTGACCTCTTAACTGCCAAATCCAGAAGCCTTTCCTCCCTCTCTCTCCCTCCCTCCCTCCCTCTCTCTCTTTCTCCTTTAAAAAAAACAAAACAAAACATTTATTTTAGGGGCAGCTAGGTGGCGCAGTGGATAGAGCACAGGCCCTGGAGTGAGGAGGACCTGAGTTCAAATTCGGCCTCAGACACTTGACACTTAACTAGCTGAGTGGCCCTAGGCAAGTCATTTAACCCCAATTACCTCACCAAATACATACACACACACAGACATATATATATATATAAACATTTTTCTCTTTTTAAATTTTGAGTTCCAAATTCCCTCCCTCCCCCCACCGCAGAGAAGGGAAGCGATATGATATCTCTTACATACATGAAGTCATGCAAACCATATGTCCAGATTAGCCATATTAAAAAAAAAAAGAATAAAAAAACGAGAACATGATACTTCAGTCTGCACTCAGAACTCGTCAGTTCTCTCTCTGGAGGTAGATGGCGTTTTTTCCTCATGGATCCTTTACAGCAATGGCCTTTTCTCGATCCTCTTTCCGCTCAGCCCCTCTGTAGCCTTGGAAGCTGTGGGTCACTCTCTTCTCCTGGATACTCCCTTCTCTCTCAGTTTTCAGGACACCCCCCTCTGTCTCCTGGTTCTCCTCCTGCTCATCTGACTGTTCCTTCTCAGTCTCCTTGGCTGGGTTCTCCTCCAGGTCATGCCCTCGAGCCGTGAGGGATCCTGAGGCTTTGTGCTGGGCCCTCTGCTCTTCTCTCCCTGTACTGCTTCAGTTGTAGACCTCATCAGTTTCCTTGGATTCAATGACCATCTCTGTGCTGATGGTTCTCAAACCTGCCCCAGCATCTCTGCTGGCCTGCAATCTCACACCTCCAACTGCCTTTCAGACATTTCAGACATTTCAGACAGGACGTCCAGCAGACATCTGAAACTCAAAATGTTCAAAACAGAACTCCTTCTCTTTCTCCCTAAACCCTCCCTTCCTTCTACCTTCCCTGAGACTATAGAGAGCAACACCACCCTCCCAGTCCCTCAGGCTCACAATCTGGGAGTCAATCTGCACTCATTCTCTCTCATCCTCCAGATCCAATATGGTGCCAAGGCCTGTCGATTTCACCTCAGCAGCATCTTTCCAATAGCCCCCTTCTCTCCTCTGACACTGCCCCTACTTTGGTGAAGACACTCATCTCCTCACACTTGGACTATTGCAATAGCCTGGGGGTGGGTCTATCTTCCGTTCAGCCACCAAAGTGATCTTCCTAAAGCACAGTTCTGATCCTGTCACCCCCTGCTCCATAAACTCCAGGGGCTCCCTATTGCCTCCAGGTGATATATAAAATAAGTAAAACAGACATCTATGATAAAAATAAAATTAGATATATCTAATAGATATGTTTTGCATATTATACAAAATCTTCTGTTTGGCAAAGCCCTTCACGACCTGGTCCCCTCTCACCTTTCCAGACTGCCTGATGTTTTCTGTGATCCAGAGATTCTGGGCTCCTGGCTATTCCTCACGAGATGCTCCATTTCCAAACTCCAGACATGTTCGCTGGCCGTCTCCGATGCTTGGAATGCTCTCCTTCTTCTCTGCCCCCTGGCTTTCCCAGTTTCCTTCAAGTCTCACCTAGAATCCCACCTCCTATGGAAGCCTTTCCCCATTCCTTTGATGCCAGTGTCTTCCCACTGGTGATTCTCTTCAATTTGTCTTGGCTGCATCTTGTACGGACATGGGTTTTTTGTATGTCATTTTCCCCATTGGACTGTGAGCTCCTTGAGGGCAGGGACTGTCTTCTGCCCTTCTGTGTATACCCAGTGGTTGGCCCAGTGCCTGACAAATAGTCCGTACTTAGTAAATGCTCGTTGACTGACCGACTGACTGACTTCCTTCAAATGTTGCCCACCAATTGGCCATT